TTGTAAATTTGGTGATACAAACTTTACTTATTTGTTGTCATACAACTCTCATTATTTTTTGGAAAGCCGATGTGGTGGAATCGGGTTGTTTTTGTGTGATATCCAAGAGAGAGGTTTGTCCGAGAGGCCAAGAAGATGATCTAAGGTGGTGTGGCGGTGCACGGCGACGATGCGGGTGCCGCCGACATAGCGGAGTTGGTTGTCGTGGTGGCTCAACTCAGGTCAGAGATCGAAGATGGTGATAAAGGTGGTTGAGTTTGCTGAACATAAAACCAGCAAGAGAAAGGGAGCTTGTGTGTGTTGATCATTACCATAAACCCAGCGAGAGTTTGTGCATGCGTGTAGCTGTGTGTTGTTTTTGTTTTCAGCTCAGATGCTCTGTGTCTTCAAGGTGAAGTTCTGCCATGGAATTTGTTAGCAGCAGAGTGAATGTATGTGTAGAGGTCCGGCGGGCGGCTAAGGCAAGGTTGCCGCCCGCCAGAAGGCGAAGAGCACCAAGAGCTTAACCTATAGCTCTGATACCATGTAAGATAAATTGATAGAGAAAGAGAGAGAATAAATTATGTATTGATTTATTGATGTTGTGAATGTTATATATTACAAATGGTGAGGGGCTCCTTATATAGGAGAGGGTTACAGACAATACATGTTTGAGCTCATGATGGAAAGTGAAGCACTAGCACCTAAAGGCACCGAAAGGGACGCTCACTATCTACTAATATATTATATACTCTAACAGTTTTTGAGTTTGTGTCCAAATTTTTTGGTACAATTTATACTTACAACTTATTAATTAGAAATAATTTAATCAAGTTTAAAAAATTGATAGTCTAAGAAATTGAGGATACTTTTGAATTCTATTTTCTAATCATCATCTTTTGACTTCGAAAAGGTTGCAACAAATAAGCTCATTCATTTCTACAATTTTGTTTCAACACAAATCTTGAAATATGTGAACATTAATAGGTCATAATAGTAATTTGGTATGGACTACCGAAAAATATGGAACACTCCTGAATTGTAATTAAACTTACTAATCTATTAAAATCCTATCTAGCAAAAAAACTAAACAAAAAAAGAAAAGAAAAAAGAAAATAAAAAATCAACGGGGCTTTAGACGTGGATTGGTGGTATATTTTTCATTCCCACAATTGTGAACTTCAGGAACTAGAAGAATGTGAGAAGCTAAAGTATGTATTTGTAAAATTGATTGATTGGGCTTTATCATTTTAGAAGGTTATGGATTTGGTAAGCCTGAGCAACAGGTTTAAAATTTTGTGGCTCGGTTTAAAATTTAGGATTAGTGACAAGTCAGTCCTATGGATTTTTTGACTTTAAGCAATGTTAATATTACATAAATAGTTATCAGAATGATAAATTTTTCAAGAATGATAAATTTCTCAATTATATTGATAAATTTATTAATCTAATGAGTATGGAGGGATGAAGTGCCTGCTGCAATTTTCAGTATTATTCGGTCTGAATCTTCTTAGTCTGTTGACGTTAATTTGCCTTTCTAAAAAAAAAAAAAAATTCACAACTACACATACAAACAAAACCAAAATAAATTACATTGATAAACTTTTCATTCATAAGATCTATACATCCGTGAATTTTTTACTCATGATTTTAGAGTGCATAAGTCCAGTAGAAGCCACTAGTAATTATCTCAAAAATTTTAAGCATAGATGCATATGAGTTTTGATTGGTCAACAGGTTTGAATTATATTTTTGTCGTCAGGCTCTACCTAGAATTTTAAAAGAGTGGTATTATTAACACCCCATGAATTATTTTAGACCTCTTATTTTTTTGGGCTCTACTTATAAATTTTAAAACCCTTAAAATTTATTTTCCCCCTCAAATAATATCAAAATTATTCTTGTGAAAATATTCCACTCATTAAATGCACACCCCCACACTTAAAAAAAAAAAAAAAAAAAAAAAACATTCCAAAAAATCTAACAAAACCCACAAAGAAGAAGAATAGTCAATGTGATTACTGTTTTTACTGCCTCATCCACCATTGTCACGGTTGGTATACTCTCTCTCTCTCTCTCTCTAGATATATATATACATATATATAATTTCTTAGTTTTCTCGTAATAATTTCTTTTCTTGCAGGAAAAAAATTATAATAATTGGTTTCGTTATTTTTGTTGGTATATACTATAAAATTGTGAGTTTAGTAGAGAAAAACACAGCAATATTATCAAAGTTACGCGATGAAGGAATAGCTTTTGAACGTGATAATGGATTTGGGCTACTTCCGATAACTTCTGGAAGTGTTAAAAATTTTGACCATTTAATGTGTTAAGAAATTTCTATGTTCGGACTTGTATTTCCAAATTTAAAAAAATGAAAATTTCTGCAAACATTAAGAATTTTGACCGTTTAATGTGTTAAGAAATTGCCATGTTTGAACTTGCATTCTAGAGCATTGTTTATTTGTTTGGGAATACTTTTCTAAACAAAACAAATAAGTAATGTTTGAATATGTATTCTCGAACTTGAAAAAATAAAAACTTCTGCAAGTATTAACAATCTTGACTGTTCAATGTGTTAATAAATTTTCATGTTTGGACCTACATTTCCGAACATTATTTATTTGTTCAAGAATGCCTTCCCGAACAAATAAACAATGTTCGGGCTCATGTTCCAGAATTTCAATCATATGTTCGGAAATTCAGTCCAGAAAAAATGACAAACATATTTTATTCTTTTTGTCATTTTTTTTTTAAAAACTTATCCGTACAAGGCCAATCTCCTATGAGTTAAGAACAATATCAAAATTATGAACATCCTTTAAGTTTTTATTATTGTACTCTTCTCGTTTTATGGAGTTATGATTACCAGAAAAACTTCCACTCATTGTCATTGCCAGAGAAGTGTAGGTAGTCAAATCGTTGCCACTGTTACAGCTGAAATATTGTTGCCAATGAGTTTTCAAGATTTTAAGAGTGGGTAGGTTTTGAAGGTGAGATTTAGGGAAGATGGATGGGTAGGTTTTGAAGGTCGAATTTGGAAAAGATGAATGAGTGGTGATGGAGGTGGATGCTCTCATAAACTCTAATTCATGATGTAGTGGGTGTGTAGGTTTAATTGTGAGATGGGATGTCTCAAAATTAATGATATCATTTTTTGTAATTTTATGTGAGGTTATTATTATATTACAAAAATAGTTAAAAATTGGAGGGTCTAAAATAAATTATGAGGTGCTAATAATAGGACACTTTTAAAAATATGAGTTTATACGGGGCTTAAGGTCGGGCTTGGCCCACTTCAGCCTAATTTAAGTTTTGAATTAGATTTTTTTTTATTAAATTCAAAATTAATTGAAAAAATAGAAAATTAATATAATATTTTAAAATGCATCACAAAAATTAAATTTGTATATTTGATTACGAAAAAATAAAAAAAAATTATTTATTTATTAAAGTAAAAAAATTACATATAACTTTTTAGAAAAGTGACAGTTGCATAAAGAATCAAAATTTGAAACACCAAAATACAAACGTATTGCTTCAAAATTGTAACAAATTAGGTAAATGCACAATAAAATACATAATAACTACGTTCAATTAAACCCACCGTTATGTCCTACTTATACCCCCCAAAAATATATAGTTGTTATAAAAAGTAAGCGAAAAAGTTGTCAAAAAATTAATTGTGTGAATCAAATCATTTTGAGTGTAACTCACATAAATTTGAATCTACATTCGATACTTCATATTCTTTTCACTTTTTGAGTTATTTTTCTCTCTTCGTAATTTTTGTCAAAAATTAAAAAATAAATAAAAACTATTATACTAATAGCGAAGTAAAAAACTCATAGTATTTGGGGGTGTTTTGAAAACATGGTTAAAAATTGAATTTTGATTTTAAGGGACAATTTGGGAAGCTAGTAAAAAGCTAGCTTTTAGTTTTTAACCTTTCACATATTTTACACACAAAAAGACAAAAAAGACAAAAAGTCCAAAAAAGAAAAAAAAAATCAACTTTTAACTAACTTCTCAAATCTCCTCTAACTAAGTTCTTTGGACTTTTTAAAAAGTTATTTAGAAAGTTGATAAAAAGTTATTTTTTAACTTTTTTGATTAATATTTATTTATACTATCACATCACAATCAAATGACCAAGATACCCCACCCAAAACACTGTTTAAAAAGTGAGTTAGGTAAACATGGGGGGTATTAGTTGTAATTTCACGATTAACTTCTAACTACTTTTCCAAATAATTTTGATATCAAAAAAGCCAGCTTATGGCTTTTACCCAAGCTGCAAAAGGTAATTTATTTTATTTTATTTTATTTTTCAAATGGCACCTCTTTCTTCCCCTAGCATTACTTAAAAATGGATTTCTATTTTGACCAAAGGGGTAGCTTTTCCCCAGCATAGAAAAAAACAAGAGAAGGATTTTCTATTTTGACTAAAAAAGGTTGGCAAAAAGTATTATCATTTGTAGAAGATGGGTAATACTGATTGTGACCCTCACATGGACGGGAATTATCATAACACAAGCATGAAAATGATACAAATACTTGTCTCTAGTGATGAGTTGCTATTAATTATTAATTATTGTAAGACATGTCAATAGTGTAATAGAGTAAGATGTTAGTGAGATAGCAAGAGGTGAGAAGAACGATTAGTGACAGTCACTTAACCTAACCAACAATGTGCTATGAATTGAGCGAAAGATAGAAGCATTGGGGAGAGAATAGAGGCGCGACTAATTAAAAAAAAATAAAATTAAGTAAAAATAAATTACGTTGTTTTGCAAAATCAATAAACAATCATTGAATCAGTAGACACAATAATTACTTTTTTCATATATAAAACAAAGGTTAGTTTGAAAAGTTATTTGTGACAACTTGTGTACTAAAATAGTTGTAATAATTAGCTCAAAAAACCTACTATTGGCATCAATAACAGGCCAACTTTAAATACAAAATGAGCCATGTTTCTAGTGTGTCTTCCAACTTTGGGTTGGGCTGGACCTAGATGCATAACCGAGAGGATTGAATTGAGCCTAAAATCTGCTAAAATGGGTTCGGATCCTTTTCACGAGAACACTTTCCAAAATCAGAGAGTCTCTTCGTTTGCCATTGCTTCACTTGCCATCTTCGATGGCTTCTTGCTTTGTATCTGGACTGTGAATCGAAGACCTGTTCACTGCTATTGTGAAAAACATGGTGAGCAATCGACAGAAAAACCCAGAAGTGTTCCCAACACCAGACCCAACAATACCCAAAGACCCAAACAAGAAGAACAAAATGAAGAGCAAATTCAAACGCAAGAAACCAGAAACCCAATCCTCAGACCAACCCAATATACCCAAGCATTGCTCTAAGAAATCTCACTGGGAAAAGAACAAGGTTTGTTTTTTCAATTTCCATTCATTCTTTATCTATTTGGGTTTTCTCAGTAGTCCATTTTTATGATCATTTCATGAGTGCGTAGTTGAATCTCATTTGGTAATCAAATTGAAGATTGGGTTTGAGTTGGATTTAGTTTATGTTTAACAGTTAAATGTTTGATTTTAATTGTGCATAGCCACTGATTTAATACTTTGATAGTGTTCTATCTGATAGTGGACACTGTTGTATAATAGTTCTAAATTTTGTGCAGATGGATGAATCTACTTCTGGAGAACCTAAAACACAAGAACCCAAGAAACTAAACCTAGGGATTGTTTGGGATCATTTCACAAGATTGGATTGTGAACATGGTGAAAATCCTAGGGCTGCCTGCAACTATTGTGGTATGGATTATGCATGTGATCCTAAAGTTAATGGAACAAAACTTATGTTAACTCATATAGAATCACGGTGCAAGGAGTATCCCTTAAGGCAAGATGAGAACCAAACTACTACCCTAGGTTTTGAACCCAAAAGAGAAACTGTTGATGGAGAAACAATTGGTGATCTTGTGGCTGCAAGTTTTAGTGTGGATGCATGTAGAAAGGCCCTAGTGGAGATGTTCATAATAGATGAATTGCCTTTTAAATTTGTGGAAGGTGAAGGATTTAAACGATTTATGCGTGTGGTGCAACCAAAGTGGCTAACAATTCCATCTAGGATTACAATTGCTAATGATTGTAAGTCAATATTTGTGAGAGAGAAGGCGGCTTTGAAGAATGCACTTAGAGGTCAACGAATATGTCTTACTACTGGCACTTGGACATCTGTGCAAAATTTGAAGTATTTGTGTCTTATTGCACATTTTATTGATTGTGATTGGAAACTTAACAAAAAAATTCTTAACTTTCGTTTAGTACCAAATCATAGAGGTAAAACACTTGGTAGGGTGATTGAGGGTTGTTTGTCAGAATGGGGCATTGATAAGCTTCTAACAATTACAGTTGACAATGCAAGCTCAAACAATGGTGTCATTAATTTCTTGAAGCGGTGGACCAAAGATAGGAAGAATACCATATTAGAGCATGAGTTTTTACATGTGAAATGTTGTGCTCACATAGTGAATTTAATTGTTTGTGAGAGCTTGAAAGAGATTGATGACTCAATCACTAGGATCCGTAATATTGTGAAGTACGTGAAATCCTCTCCATCTAGGATGGCCGAATTCAAGTTTTGTGTTAAATTAGAGCGCATTGAATATGAGGGTCAACTTTGTTTGGATGTGGCTACTCGGTGGAACTCCACATATTTCATGTTAGAACGGGCTTTACAATTTCAAAAAGCGTTTGAGCGGTTGGAAGATGATGACACTTTTTTCCATTTGAAATTTAGAGAGGATGAGATTGCCGAGGAGGTTGGTGAAGGTGGTGAGGGTGTTGTTGGTGTTGGTGGGGCTAACAGTGGGAAAGGGAAAGAGGATAGTAAATCACATTCGGGCCTCCGACAAGTGATGATTGGATGAAGGCTAAGTTGTACTTCAAGTTCTTAAAATTGTTTTACAAAGCAACTTTGCGTCTTTCAGGTTCTTTGTATGTCACTTGCGATGCTTTTTTTACAGAGATAATGGTGATTCAAAGTTCAATCACCAAATTGTGTGCAAATGATGATGAAAATTTGCAATTATTGGCACGTGGCATGAGTTTTAAGTTCGATAAGTATTGGGGGGAGGTTTGATAAGATCAATTTGTTATTATTTGTTGCGGTTGTTCTTGATCCCCGTTACAAACTCAAGTATGTGCAATGGTGCTGAGAACAAATTTATGAAGCTAAGCATGTTGAGGACTTGGCAATGAGATTAAAGAACGAGTTGGCACAAATATATGATTGGTATGTCTTGCATGATTCAATTGACAGTGTGCAGACTCAAAATTTGAGTGATTCATCGAAGAGAATTACTATGGATGAAGATGATGACACAGATGTCTTTGAAAAAATGATGTCTCAGTTTAAGAAGCATTTGGAGGAAGAAAGTAATATGGTTAATAAGTCCGAGTTGGAGAGATTTTTGATGGAGGATTGTGAAGAGTACAATGATAATTTTGATATCTTGTTTTGGTGGAAGGCTAATTCCTCCAAGTATTGCATCCTCTCTCATCTAGCACGTGATGTTCTAGCCATCCCCGTGTCCACAGTTGCATCCGGATCTGCTTTTAGCACGGGAGGACGTGTTCTTGATCCATTCCACAGTTCTCTATCACCCTCTATGGTGGAGGCCCTCATTTGTTCTCAAAACTGGTTGCATTCCCCAGCTCAAATCAATCTTAGAGATCAGTTGGATGAATTGGAGAAACTTGCATCAGGTATTATTGCCCAAGTAGCAAGTATTGCTTATTTTCTTTAATTTTTATCATAATTATTTGTTCAGCACTTAAACTTCTTGTGTCCTGGGTTTTTTTAGAGTTTATGGAAGGAGGAGAAAGTAACTGACAAGGATTGAACCATCATTGATGTTTGAAAGCAATGGTAAGAAATTGAATGGTTGAGATTATTATTACTATTATTATTATTATTATCGTTTGAAATTGACTTGTTTAGATTGCTGATTGTTGCCTTCCAAGGTTGTGTGAAACATATATATATATATATATTTTGTTTCTGTTTTTGCAGGTTTTTGGCTTCCAATGGTTGCTGAATGTGATTGCTGCTGTGTCTACAATTCGCTCTCTGTTTATGTTTGAGACAGAGTGAAGTTTGTATGTAATTTGTTAATGTTAAGTGTGTTTTGCCTTGGTGTTGGTGGATTTGATGCTAATATATACTATATATATGTATATATATATTTTGCTGGTAAGCAACTACTGAGTCTACTGAGTTATCTTGGTGTTGATGGATTTGTTGCCTATGGTTATAGAAATCAAAACCATTGTTTGACTATTCTGTAATATACCTTTTGAAATTGTTTAGAACTTTAGTGCCTTCACCAAATAATGTCTACATGTTTGGGACAACTATGTTTTCTCACTGTTGCTGGCATGCCACAGCGGTTCGCAAACAATGTTAGGATAAATTTGTAAGACGGGGTAAGACATCTTCATCGTGTAAGTGCTTTTTGAATTGAAACCCAATGAGATAAACCAGTGAGATCGGCAGTTGGATTAAGCCATAGTGAAAGACTTTTAGGGGGAAACTAGGCCGTGCATCTGACATAAGATGGCAATGGAGTGGAGCAGGGACAGGTTGGTAGTACTAATAAAAACAAGCAGTGATATGAATATAGTTGTTGAGACTTGAAAAATGTAAAATGACGAATAAAGCGTGAAAATGAGTATTTAAATCAATTATTTTTGTATTTTAGTCTTATTATATTTACAAAATTTAAATTATATTTATTATACATATAAATATATTTAATAAATGTTAGTGTTTAAGAGATCACAAAGAACGGATTTGTCTCCGCCCTACCTCCTCAATGGGCACAGGGACCACCCAAAGTTGTGAATTATGTAGGTTGATATAATTGAAGTGTCTTTGGATGACACAAATTGGAATTGTGTTTGTGCAATGTTCAAAATGTATTAGAATTGTCTTATGAGTTTTTGTTTCTAATTTTTATTAGCTATTGGATGTTGATTTCCTCTTCGATTAGTGTGTTTAGTGTGTGGAGAACTGATTCATTTTGGGAATGAAAAATGAAAGTTTATTAGATATCAGAATTGGAAACATGGATTTGCACTTTGGAATTGGAAACTGGTCTTTCTCTAATGAGTATTGTAAAGAAACAAAATTTACAAAACTAGCTGTTGACCTCGAGGCTGTGAAATATAATATTTTATTTATATTTTATTCACTTTATTTATTTATTTATTTAAATTCTTATCAAAATTCATGATCTAAATATATTCAAACTGCATTTATGATTTTCAATCATTTGGCGGGATGACCAAATTTTATACCAAATTTACTTAGTATTCGACACGATGCCTTACATGTACGATGCATGGAGTGTTGCATTTGTTGAACTAATAGAGGCCCATTAGATAATGGGAAATTAGATAATAAACAAATTTAGTATAAGAATTTGGTCATCACAATATTAATCCAATAATACTTGGGCCAACGGCAGCCTAACACTACGGGATTGTTTGGGATGACCTAAATAAGTACACTTTTTGTCTTTTTACGAAAAGATGTGTGGAAAAGTAAAGAGATGATGTGATGAAAAAAAGATAAAAGATAAAAAGTGTGTACTTATTTAGGATATCCAAACTTGGCCTACATGTGCGTGTGTTTAAATTAATAGGAAAAAAAATTAAATAAAATGGTGTAATCCAGTAATAAATAATATTTCTCTTTTATTTTGGTGGGCCTTGGGACCATTTTAATTTTTTTAATGAGAAATTTTATTTAACACTGGAGTTGTTTAACAAATTTGTTTTACTATGTGTTTTTATGTAATAAAAGTCAAGTCGCTATATTTAAAATAGTGAAATTTACTATGTTATATAATTAACTAAATAAAAAGTAGAGTTTAGGTGAAAATTTCTGGTGATATATATATATATATATATTTAAGAAGTGTTTGGAAAAGATGAATTATTTTTCTTGAGCCTTTTCGATGAGATTTATTTTTAATTTTGCACGGCCTTTAGAAAATGTGATTTTTTTTTTTTTTGACAGGGCTTTTAAAAATTATAAATAATAAAAATTTGGGACCCTCGCCCTTATTTGTGCTTTAAGTATGCATACATACACGGAGAGGACAAGAAATTCCGACAAAATGAAAATATGACAAACATAAGAAGAAAAAAAATACGAAAAATGCTTGGTAATTCGAATTCGTCTGGTCCGAATGATTTGAATGTATCAAAATGATATTATTTTATCTCCAAAACGACGTCGTTTTGAGACATTCGAACTATTCGGGCCATGAAAATTCGAGCTATCCAGCATTGTTAAAAAAATAAGAAATAAGAAACAAGAATTCAGATCCAATCCGGCTCATGTCTCCATTTCATAATTAAGGGAGGTTTTAAAATTATAATAACCTGTTGGTTAAGATGATTGATTTTAAATTTTTATAATGCCTTGCAAGCTCATGAATTGAAATAGAGATTTTCATTAGATTTATATTTCATGAAATGGATAAACAATATAAAAAAAGCGAAGGCTTCTTTTTTAGTCTAAATCGGATTGAAGAGTGTTGTTGGGCTTCTGTGGACTCATCACATAACCTGTATCTATGATCCGAACCGTTTAATGTATAGAGCTCATTGAGTACTTTATCTCTACAAAAAATTCTGTTCATCAGATATTGAAACCACTTGATCAGAACACATTTGTGTCAATGGTAAACATAATTTTTAAAATAAATTATTGATACAAATGTGATCTAATTAAGTGGTTATCGATATCTTATCAACGTGATTTTTTACATAAATGAAATACTCGACAAGCCCTATATATTAAACTGTTCGAATTATCGATACGGGTTCTGTGATAAGCCCACAAAGGCCCTTCAATACCCTCCAGTTGGGAAACCCAACTGCAGATAATCGTCTCCCATAAAAAAATGAGGTGTCAAAGGCCTAGAAAAAAAATTTTGAAAAGTAATTTTTTGTCATTCACACACATGAGAATCTAACAATGTTCATCATGCAATGATAATGTGGAGGAAGAAAGTGTGTTGGGGATGGTGGACGTGATCAAAGCCTCAATTTCTAAGACAATTCTCAACCCTTATTTTGTCCCACAAAATTCTCTTCATTCTCCGCAAATTTCTGTGTATCCTAAAAAAAGCCCAAAGCTCTCTCATGTCTTTCCCAAATTCAAGGATCTCCCACTATACTCCCAATCCCTTCTTTCTCCTCTTTCTTCTTTCTTCTTTCTTCTTTCTCATTTCTGCATAGCTGCTACTGCTATCCCTTTTCACCATGGTATGCCTCTCCCTCTCTCTCCATTTTCTTTAATTTCAAGTTGAAGGGTTAGAAAGAAAAGGACGAAAAGATTTATTTGGATTAAAAAATTCTATGGTCCACAAAAATATACCTCAAATTTTATTCAAAAAGATAGGTGTATGGTGTAGATTTAAATTTAGTGAAATATGGGTCACACCCATATTGTTATGTAGTCCATTGATTCACTTTCTGAGTAAATTTTTTAAATTTGTAATTGATTTAGATATAATAATCATTATTCGGATCTGAAATATTTCTTTCCCTTTCTCTATTTTTTTTATGTGACATCATACTGATTGTCAAAGCTGCACATGGTATTGGGGAATAGAGGCTCTCTGTTTAGTATTGATTTTATTTTAGTTTCACTTATGGTCAAGTTATAACTTACAGTATAACACTTCCGTTAATTTTATGTTAAATTGTTTGATAAAAATTGTCATATGACCTTTATATGATGCGCATCATTTAGAAAAAAAAAATAAAATGCAATTTTCTTCTATTTTTGGTTAATTCCTTAACGTACCACCATTGACCACCTCGTCACCACCGTATACGATGGGTTTAAAAAATCAACAATGCTAAGTGGTCCAAAATTTCATAACTTGAATGGCTTGAATGTTTCAAAATGACGTCATTTTAGACGTAAAACAACGTCGTTTTGACACGTTCGAACCATTCGGATCACACAAATTAGGGCCACCAAGTATTTTTCTTAAAAAATACAATAAAGAGAGAGTACTATGAAAATTATAAAAGAAGAAAACAAAATAAAATAAAATCACATTTGTACTTTAAAAAATGCCTCAGGTCAAGTCACATGACATTTTTCGTTAAATAATTTAACACCAAACTAGTAAGGTATCACGTTATAACTTGATTGAAAGTATAAGAGATCGACAGTTACAATTGAAAAAGCGAGACCCAAGTGACCTTTGATATAGAAATACGATTGATCATCTGATATTCTGATAACACTTCAATGGCCAAAAAGCACCGATGAAACAGGGTAACAAAACATTATTTACAGCATTGATACATTAATTTTCATGATTCTATTTTCCAGTTGAACAGATTAAAATCATATAATGACATGCCTGTCGTAACCCTCTTGGCAAACACATAGACTAAACACATAATCGAACCCAAAATATATTGATGGACAAAATTTCTCAAAATCAGCACCCCAACAAATGTAGTTAACTTCTATCCATTAATGCATTTTCTGTATTCCGTTCTGTGATCAAATTTTGCATCGGCTTTTTGTACCCTAAGGTTTTGTGTTTCTTCTTTTGTTTGTCCTTGTTTTAAAAAATGTTTTGGGTAGGCGAATGCGGCGTCTGGAATGGCCGTGGAAGATGACTGTAAGCTGAAGTTCTTGGAGCTAAAAACAAAGAGGAACTACCGTTTCATCATCTTCAAGATTGAAGGCCAAAACGTGGCTGTCGAAAAGCTTGGGAGTCCCGAGGAAAGCTATGAGGATTTCACTGCCTCTCTCCCTGCTGATGAGTGCCGATACGCTGTTTTTGATTTCGATTTCATCACTGATGAGAACTGTCAGAAGAGCAAGATTTTCTTTATTGCTTGGTAATATGACTTACATCATTTATATTTCTATCTACTGCAATCAATGTCACACATTGGATTGTAAATGTAGAGACTAACACACTATCTTTGTTCTTGATGAGTTTAATTACACTTGGTATTTCTACATTTTACATGAAATCCAACTTCGGCCCCTCTAAGTTTGATTGTTACAGTCAATCTCTATACTTGGTAGTCATGTTTCAATGTAACCCAAACTTGGCCAAAAATGATAGAGTTGACTGTCACAATAGAATGTAAAAAGGTCAAAGTAGGATGTCATGTAATGTGAGGGTGCTAAGTGTAATTAAAAGAAAAAATAACAACTGAATGTACACCACCCATGCGTGAGATAGAGTGATATTGGCCTAGTTCTTGCCTCACTTGAGGCATATGATAAAATTGGGCAAAAAAACTAGTATAAATTTGTGTTTTTTGAAAGTGATTGTGGGGATTAATTTGTATGACAATGTGCATTGAGCTTCCTTGTGTTAGTTCACCAATTTCTAGTTATGTCACTCACTCGTATGATTGTGCTAGTCTATGAAAGGCAAGAATAAATATTGATTTCTCTTTCTCATGTGTAATCCACCTTCTACACGCAATCGGATCCCTGGATTCTTTCTTGTCTCCTAATCCCACTGCTCTTTACGCTTGGCTGATTCTTTCTTGTCTCCTTATCTCAAAACATGTATTGCATGAGAAACTCACCATGTAATAGAGAGGGGTCCGAGATGGGAATCAGAAGACAAATGACTGATTTACTTTTTTGTTTGCTAAGTAGTGATCAAATTAATTTTCTCATTTTTTAAGGTCACCGGATACATCAAAGGTGAGAATGAAGATGGTATATGCAAGCTCCAAGGATAGATTCAAGAGGGAATTGGATGGCATTCAAGTTGAGTTGCAAGCAACGGATCCAAGTGAAATGAGCTTCGACATTATAAAAGCACGAGCTATCTAAAAGTTTTCTTGTCTTCTTTCGTCGTCTTTTGCGTTTCTTACTTATTATGAGCTTTACATTTCTCGTTTTGGTTGGCATTTGGTTAATACTGAACCGCGTAGGGTTATGTAATATTATGCATTCTTTTGTTATGTTTCACAGTTCCGAATATTCGTGTCAAGTATATGTTTTGCTTGCACATGTTGCATCCTGATTTTGAACATTTTGTGAAGTTGTATTTTGTATACACAAGATGAGATTATTTGTTGTGGTAATGAGAAACATGAAATTGTTATTGCCTTCTACATTTTTTTCTTGTCAAATATTAAAATGGAATAAAGCCATTTATGTTTGGATAAAACAACTGATTTGTTTCTGTTTTTTCGTTTTCTGTCCTTATTTTTTCAAAACTTACATATATAGAGTCGATATGTTTTTCCAATGGTTGATCCATAAAAGAGGACTTTCAATTTTATGAAATCTGTTCATCGAGTGATATGTCTATGATACGAATTTTGCACAACTTGACGCACAATGAGGGGTGCATCCACAAAGTTCCCTATGCATCATCCTTAGAGAATTAAGAGAAAATTACAAAGATAATTCCTTTCGTTCCAATTGTAATAAATTTTTTCTTTAATAATTTTTAAATTTTGTTCTCGGCATGCCCATTGATCTGGAGGGGCACAATGGTTCATACATTAAGAGTGCTGCTATTAACACTATCAATTATTTTGGGCCCCTTATTTTTTTAGACCCTCACTTATAAATTATAAAACCTTTTAAAAAAATTTTCTCCCCCCAAATAATACCAAAATTATTCTTATAAAAATATTCCACCCATTCAAATGCACATCCCCACACCCCAAAAAGTCTCTCTGCCAAAACCCTAACAAAACCCACGACGGTAGAACCTCCCAAAACTAGTGAAAAAATTTTGTGGTGATCAAGAAGTTTTTTCTCTGCTTCATTACGAGGTTTGTCAATCTATTTGATTTTTTTTTTTCTATTACATCTTTTCACACACACAACACAATCCACTTTCATGCTTCACTAGTTGATTTTCTGTCATTCATTCATGGCCTCATTGTACTTGTATGCTCTCTGTGTGAGCAAACTGGGCAGAATTTCACCCCTTGTCAACCGGGCAGTCGACCATCCAAGGGTGGTCTGACCTCCTTTACTTGTATGTTTTTGCTGCTACTTCGATTATCTGTTCCCAAACAAATACGAAATGTTCGGTTATCTATTATTGAACAAATAAACAATGTTCGGATCTGTGATCACGAATTTCAGTCATATGTTTGGGAGTTCAGTCTTAAAAAAATGACGAATAGTTATTTTTTATTTTTTATTTTTGCCATTTTTTTTTTCTTCAAGACACATACCCTTATAAGGCCAATCTTCTCTAAGCTAAGAACACCATCAAAGTTATGAACTTCTTCAGAGTTTTTATTGTTGTAATCCTCTTCTCTCATGGAATTGTAGTTGTCGAAAAAACTTTCAGTCATTGTTATTGTTGGAGAAGTGTATGTAATTAAATAGTTGTCACTGTTGCCACCGGAATATCGCCGCTAAAGGGTTTTCAAGATTTTGAGGGTAGGTAGATTTTGAAGGTGGGATTTTGGATGGGTGGTGATGGAGGTGGGTGATCTCATAAACCCTAACTCATGATATAGGGATATGTGGGTTTAATTGTGAGATAGGGTGCCCCAAAATTTTTGATGTCTTTTTTAGTAATTTCATTTGAAGTTATTATTGTAATAAAGAAAAAGCTAAAAAATGGAAGGTCTAAAATAATTGATGGGTGTTAATAGCAGTACTCTACATTAATTCTCTCTCATCATTTTTTTTTTTCTTTTTTCAACTGTCTACCATTGTCGTTTTCTTCTTTTTGAACAAAAAATTATGTGATGATCCTAGAACATGCCCACATATCACCGAAAAATTAAGTGGTGGTTTTGGAACAAATTCACATAGTGCCTTTATATGATTTTATGGATAAATTAAACTTTGCACACCTACACAGTACACCAAATTCCACTTTGGCCTCTATATATGAAATCATGACAATCAACCCCTGCATTTTTGGTCAAATCTCACTTTGGTCCCTACACAAGTGTTAATGTTCTCCTTCTATTACTCCACTATTTAACAAAATTCAGTTATGTGACAAGAATGTGACTACAAAATCAGGGGTAAGAGACGAAAATCATTCACATTTTCCACCAATACATACTTTGTCCCAAAATTTACATCAAATTATTATTGTACTAGGCTAAAATTATGTTAGATTATGAACAATTAAGAATATGAATTAGAATTTTGCATAAACTGGAATTACGAAACTCTATTTTTCACATTAACATAGTCTTCTATCTATCATTCATCATTTCTCTTCAATTTTTCTACTACCTTTTTTGATTTTAGTAGTTTTATTTTCTTACCTCTTTGTCTCAAGTTTCAACACACACACACACACACACACACATGTGTGTGTGTGTGTGTTGATTTCTGACCACACTGCCAAACAAGTACTCAGCTGGAGAACATGGCAGAATAGATTGCACCTGAATGACCTGTCATAGAAAGATAAGACTCCGGCGGTGGTTCTTCCACCCGGGGACACTCCGACGATCAAGTCAGTACTCAATTATCTCTCAAAGATAGCAAACAGTGCTTTAACTCACTAGTCAGGAAGCAAAATGCGTACCTTAGACTCATGAGGGTGCCTTGCTTTTATAGTCAGCAATAACCTGATCCCTGTAGAAGCCTAGCTTCTCTTGGACTCTGGCCCAATGCCCATCCTGGACTCTCTAATAGATAAAGATAAACTCCCTAAGAGCTTTATCCTTATCCAGGCTGAGGTCCTCCTTCATTCTAGGACACTTATAATTTATCCATTTATCTCTGATTCCGGTATCTCTGCAGGTAACCTCGGCCTAGCCGAGATCATCTCGGCGCCAAGACCAGGACACGTGGCACCTCGGCTGGCACTTCGGTACCACTTTGGCCACATGTTGTTATTCATAAAATATGTCCCCACAACTGCCCCTAGGTTATATTACCTCGACATCCTGAGGTGATGGAGCCTATATCATTCGTTCACATAGTGTGCCGGCTAAGACTTGCTCTACCCTTCATTTACCGAGGTCGTCACACGTCGGCTCCATATGACGAAGACTATAATGTGTTTTCTCAAATGCCTTTAGAACCACGAACCAAGTTTTTTAAGTTTTTAATCGAGATCGTCCCCCTAGCCGAGGCTTTTGTTTCATTTAATCAAGAACTCCAAGAGTTCTATCTGCTCATGAGCTGTCACGCACGATTTCTCAACCGTTTTCGCCACGTGTCTTTTCTTCATTTTTCTGTACCTGACACGTGCCATCAGGTGGCGTCACTTCTGCGTGCGCCGCCTAACAGGTACGTCGTCTTAGGCACATTCAATGTAACTTTGCCGTCTTTTCATGTTTTAACAAAAACACTTCCCTTTTTCTCCATCTCTTCACTTTTGTATCTGTGATTTCACTCAAGTTTTCAAGCTTCTCTCTCTCTAAAAATACCCAACCTCCATTGTTGCCTTCTTCGAGCTTTTCCTGCAACCACTCCGTTCACCTCTTCCGGTGAAGCATCCACCTTTTTGCTACATCTATCGTCATTGCCTGACTTCGACGTCTTTATACTGGTGTCATCTTCCTTGGTAAGCCACTGTTTTTCCTTGTTTCAATTTTTGATTTACTTCAAACTTTGCTATGCTTGTATACTGCCATTTGTGAGTCCATTCATGTTTTGTGAATATATTTGCTTGTGTTTTTGAATTCCATCACTTTTGAGTACCAAACACGCTGTGTTTGGAATTTCTGGTTGTTCAATATGCTTTTGGTTCATGGCCCCTATGCACACATATGCACTGTTTCATGTGTCTCGATGTTTTTGATAGTTTTACCACTATTCTTGATTTTTAATCTGTGTTCTTGAATTTTTGCTACCTTCTTGAGTCTGAATCATGGTGCTTCTCTGTTTTTCTGTTTCCTTGTTGCATTTTCCAGATTTGTTGACTTCAATTTTCCACTTCTACATAGATTAGGCTTGGGTTTTGGTAGAGAAATCACAAAAATTTAGGAAAACTGAAACAAACTCCCTTTGATCTTGAAAAATCCTTGCCCCAGTTTCTGTTTTGAGTTTAGTCGAGGTCCTCTCAAACCTATTCCCAACTTTTTCACTTGAACTGTGTACCAATACCTCCCAAGCTGACATCATGGGAATGTTTAGGTGGAGAGTAGACAACCCCACTAAGCTAGAGTACTTTAGGTAGGAGTTTTCTATACCAGCTGATGTTCAAATACGGGTTGGTTGGAGAGAATGACTCCATTATACCGGGGAAGGATTATATGCCCTTTCCCGTAGTCTCTATTATCGAAGAAGGAGTCAGATTCCCTCTTAACACCCTTTTCAGAGAGGTTCTCCATTTTTACAAATTGAACCCGATACAACTAGCTATAAACTCCTTTAGGATCATAAACGGAATCGCTGAGTTGGAGCGTCGGCAAAATGCTAGGATCTCTCTCTCTGATATTCAATACTGCTACATGATGCGTGGCCTTAAAACCAAAGTCGGTTCTACGTACTACCTCAAGCCGAGATCAACCCAATACAAGCTGATAGCCGACATTCCAGACTCTAATAAAGGCGTGACTGACGACTGCTTGATTGTTTCAGGCAATTGGGAGTTCGCGTCAGATGACGAACTCCACCTCTTCCCACTGCGCCGCGGGGTTTTTAGGGATAATATGGGTAAGGACTTAGTTTTCCTCTCTAGAGTCCCTCCTACTTTCTTTAATCATCATATTCTTGCTACTTTGTTTTTAACATATGTTTTCTTTTTGTAGCTCTCTCTCAGGCTGATGTTCAAATACGGGTTGGTTGGAGAGAATGACTCCATTATGCCGGGGAAAGATTATATGCCCTTTCCCGTAGTCTCTATTATCGAAGCAGGAGTCAGATTCCCTCGTAACACCCTTTTCAGAGAGGTTCTCCATTTTTACAAATTGAACCCGATGCAACTAGCTATAAACTCCTTTAGGATCATAAACGGAATCGTTGAGTTGGAGCGTCGGCAAAATGCTAGGATCTCCCTCTTTGATATTCAATATTGCTACATGATGCGTGGCCTTAAAACCAAAGTCGGTTATACGTACTACCTCAAGCCGAGATCAACCCAATACAAGCTGATAGCCGACATTCCAGACTCTAATAAAGGCGTGACTGACTACTGCTTGATTGTTTCAGGCAATT